ATCCGCACCTCTAGGAGCCAACTGTACAGGTTAAAGAATCCTCTTTCAGTTCGGCGCCTGTGGCTCAAGCGGCTAAGGCGCCAGCCACATACACCTAAGGTGGCGGGTTCGAATCCCCAGCCCGGACCTGCCAAACAACAAGGATGGCTGCAACCAAAAAATAGCCAGGCGTTGTGGCGGGCACCTGTAGTCCCAGCTACTTGGGAGGCTGAGGCAGGAGACTCACTTGAGCCCAGGAGTTGGAGGTTGCTGTGAGCGTGATGCCATGGCACTCTACCCAGGGGGATAGCTTGAGGCTGCGTCTCAAAAACAAACAAAAAAAAAAGAATCCTCTTTCAAGTGGCGGAAAGGCTCCTGCAGGACAATCGGGCACTGCCCCTGCACAGGGCTGCCCTGCACCTGTTCCTGATTGGTCTTCCCACTGCCACATCCTTGGTGACAGCTGGAGGGATCTGTAGCTCAGTTGAAGCCTATTTGATTGGAAACCTGATGAAATTTAACTCTGGAAGGCCACATGTGGGAAGGGACCTAAACTTGAGATCAGTCATTCCCTGACCCTACTGGGTCCATGACCTGTCAAAGCTGGACACAGCAAAGCTGGCAGAGCCCCTGCTGGGTCTGGTGGCGGGAGGGGCACACCAGGCCTGGGTTTCGATAAAGCCAATGCTTGGACGCGGACAGTTCCCAGAGGACATCTCACCCCTGTGCACGGCCAGCGCATTGTTACACAGCCGTGGAGGGAAAGACAACTGCCAGCCGATGACCATCACAGCCGTGGGTAGAATCCATTTCCCTGGCAGCTGTCTCTGATATGTCACTGATGTTTAGCCAAATGAGGCAGAATTGGCCGGTATGGAAGCGTTTGCCAGTGGGAGGCAGAAGTTAGCCTGTGGGGGGAGACAGACTGGAGCTCCCTTTCTTGGCAGGAACCTCACTGTGTGTGGGACACGATCAGAGGCCATGTCCACCTGCCAGCTCCCCGCCCTGCCCTGCCCTGTGCTGAAGGCCCAGGGCTCTCAGAACAGGCTCAGGGCTTTCAGTTTCCCTCTGGTCCACCCCAAGTTTCTCATAAATGGCATTTTTTTCATCTCTAAAAATGTAGCCTTTTCCCAGCTCTGTAAATGCCAGGCCTTTTATTCAAAGGACCTGTGATCCCGCATAAAGCTGGTAGAGGGGCAGCTGCCCCCACTTGGAGCAATGTGCCCTAATGATGCTGAGTTCGTAATTTGAGCCTGACCTTCCAATCTGCAGTTTTATCGAGACCCAAGTGGGGTGTGTTGTTTGCATCCTCAGGGCCAACAAGACCTTACAGTTTCCCAAAGCTCAGAACCTCACAGGCCCCTCTGCAACCTTCTCTACACCCGACTCCCCACAGGCAGCGCCCGCCCCTCCTTCTCAGGAGCTGCCCAGCCAGCTGCACGCCCTGCCCATCCCACATGGCCTGCAGGGCACCCTACATTATGCACAGGGAAGGAAGGAAGGAAGTCTGATGAATGAGGCCAACAGACTCCAGGAGCAGCCACGGGGCATAGAGAGGCCACTAGGTTAGTTTCTGCAGCGCCTGTCCAGGCAGACTTCAGAGCCTGGGAGGGTTTCCCTAGCACCGTCCCAGTCCTGACCACTTCCTGGAGCGATTTTCAGTTGCTATAGGTAAAAACAGAAGCACGATTAGATTTTCAGAACAGACACAATTACTTGTAAAAGACTGAAACTAAGAATTAAATGACAAGTGAATGAGAAAAGGAAGAAACAGCATTAAGAAATTCTGAATCCGGAACGCTCCGAGTTTCCTGCCAGAGGGGCAAAGGGGGACAAAAATGGACTATGAACTGGGGGAGAATATTCTCTGGAATTCTCAAGCAGGTCTTTGATCCAGCCCACCGGTCAGGCCACAGCTAACAACTTTTGTCCATCAGGAACTTACTGAAGCAGGAGCCCATGTGATCAACCCACCCCGGCGTCCTGATCCCAGCAGGTTAGAGGGCATTTGAAGCAGAAAATGGTCTACTGTATGCAAACGTTTTAATGTCACAGGGTATTGATCAATCTGCAAAGGAGGCTGCAAGAATTCCATCCTGTGTGGACACTCAAGAACCCTAAGAACAGGGAACACTGGGCCCCCAGTCACCCACGTCCACAAGCCAGCCCTCTGCCCCCCTCCTCCTCCGTCCTGCACTGACATCTCCCACTTGCCAAATGCCAGTGCCCACAGCACCACATCCTGAGAACTCGCCCTGACCTCTCCCATGCAGCGCTCTGGGTCTGTGACACTTCATGGCATCTCCACTCTGCCCTGTGGAGCCCCGAGAGGCTCTGAGCCTGCACGTCCCCTTCACCCTTCTCCACCTAATGGGACCTCGGTAAACCTGGGTGTGATGCACTCAGATAAGGAATGGGGTTTTCCACCATGAGGCACTGTCCCTCTGGAGGGCTGTGGATGCCCAGCAGAGCCAGGGGGAGGACAGGGTGGGAGAGGGCAGGTGATTAAGAAAACTTTTATTCAGGTCAATTAAAAGAGAACATTTAAAAATGGGGCCGTGAACTGAGCTTTTTTCTTTCTTTTGCTTGTTCTCCCTGCCCCGCCCCACCTTGTTTATTAACACGTACGGGTCAGAGTGACGGAGACAAGCCTTCATCATGAGGGCCACCACCTGTCAGCAGTGACAGGATACTGAGTCGTGCTCTGGCCCTGGCAGCCTGAGTTAACAAGGCTACTGGCTTCTCGTTGTTTAAAACTTCTCTCTGGCTTCCTTGCCAGGCCCGCTGGTATCCAATATGCTGGTGTCTTAACACACCGGTGTTGAAGCTGTGCGTTTGTGCTGTGCGTACATCCCAGCAGCTGGTGGGGTGCCGGGCCAAGTGGGTAAACAACACAAGGCCCTGCCTTCTGGGGCTTACAGTCCTCACAGGAGGTGGCCACCCTCAAGACTCACAGGCTGCACAGGCTGCCGTCCTGAGGAGCGCTCCTCGTGAGCTGGGCCCTAGAAGAGCAGAGGGCTGCCGATCAGGAACGAAGAAATGGCTTGGACCCTGGAATCGGCCTGGGCCTTGTGGGTGTTGTGGGTCCTCCAGGACATCCGGCAGGTCAATATGGCAACTGGGGATGAGGACAGGGGTGCAGGAGCTAAACGGCTGTCTGTTCAGGTCCTCAGGAGGGGCTCCTGTCCAGACTAGGGCGCCGGGCATGCACACTGCCAGTGAAGACCTGCCCCTTGCTTCCTTGGAACTCAGGTCTTAGAGAGTGACGGAAGAGTTGACAGGTCACCCCTTGCTCACCACCTCCAGGGAGCCCAGGAACACCCCCGCCCCAGGTGCCCCAGCAGCACAGGCTCCTCCCCTGTGGCTCTTACATTACTGGGAACTCACAGTGTTCTAGGGCTGACCCCAGGAACACCCGCCTCTCTGCAGGACTAAAGGCTCCTACTGGTGTGCAGAGTGTGGGGCCCCTGGGCGGATGAGGCAGGCTGGTGCTGGATGACAAATGGGGGATGTGCCAGGCCCTGACAAAGGGGAGAAAACAGAGCCCCAGCTGCCCCATGTCCTGGGGGGAAAGCAGAACACTGAAAAGGCTGGGCTGGGCGGGTTTTACTGGGGCGGTGGCAGGCTCCTCTGGCGTGCTCACCAGAGATGCAGATGTCAGCTTAGTTGTTTTTGAAAAATGGATTAGCCAGGCAAGGGGGATGGGGTGGAGGACAGGGAGAGAGTGTCAGGCCCAGGAGTGGGGCAGGGGCGGTGGGCAGCAGAGGAGGGGGAGACGCTAGGCCACACGGGTGAGGACAGAGTAGCCCACTGGTGAGCTCCAGGTGCCACACTCGTGCTCTCAGCCCCTGTCTCCTGAACCCCTCATTGCTGGGCGCTGGCGAGCCTCGCAGCCTGGTCTGGACGGTAGTCTGGATTCTGGATGCCACCGCCCATTGGAGGTCTCCCAGCTGCTGTGGGCTGTGCAGGGAGGGACCACCTGCCGAGCTGACCAGCGCAGGGATGCTACAGATGCCACCACACGCTGGACTGGAGGGGCTCCTGGGGAGGGGGCGGTAGAGTTGGGGGCACCTCCAGGCAGCGCGGGGCTCTCACGCGGCCTCCGAAGGACCCCAACGCAAAACACTGGGCCCAGGTTGTCTTGGGCCAATGTGGGGGACACGGGACAGGCTGGGGCATGACACAGTGTCGTGGAGAGTTATGAATTATGTTCAAATAGATCGGTGGCCTCATTGGGGGGTGCTCCTGCCGCGCACCTGGGAGGAGGGAGCAGACGGGGCTGGGGGCGACGGACAGCAAGGGAATGTGCAGGTGCGAGTGAGTGACCATGAGACCGTGCTGCGAGTGGACACTGCACCGCACTAACACCGCGCCCTCACTCGCTGGGCACCCTCGGGTGACAGCTCGCCTCCGACCCTCGGCTGCACCCAAAACCCAACGCCTCGGTCCGCAGCGCTCCGCAAGGACCCCCGCAGCGGGACGGTAACGGCACCCGGACCGCCAGGATCAGGCCTGACAGGCACCTCCCCCGACGCTTGGACTTTGTCGGAGAGGGTCGACAAAGGGCCCTGCTCCGCGCTCTGCTCCAGCTGCAACTGGAGGGCAGGGCCGCCACACGCGGGCGCTCATGGCTCCAGAGCATCCCCGCTCTCACGGGGGGCGCATGCCCCTCTCAAACATGGCAGACAAGACACACCGAAGGGAGCGCCCCTCTCAAACATGGCCGCCTGCCAGTCTCAAACATGGTGGACACAGGCACACCAAGGGGAGCATCTGTCATCAATGCGGACGCTTAACCCGCGCAAACATGGCGGACACAGGCGCACTGAAAGGAGCGCCCTTCACGAATATGGCCGGCCTGCCGCCCAACTTCCTGCTTCGGCGCTCCGCCCCAGACCACGCCCTCCGCGCTCTGCCCGCCTGTTTACGTAAAAAGTCAACTTTGTTGAGTCACATGCCTGGGGATACCGGGCGGTGATTGGCTGGCCTTATGGTGACGTCCGACGCCGCGGAGGCGCGGAAGGGCTACCCTGGGTGCCGCTGCGCTGGGGAGCGCGGGGCTGGGCGCGGGCTTGGCGGCGGCAACTCGCCGCGCACACTCATGAGGAGCCGGAAGGTGAGCGGCCGGGGCCGGCGGAGGTGCACCGGGAGACGCGGGTCTCCGGGCCGCCCGCTGCCCAGAAGGGGGTCTGGGACGCCGCAGGCCGAGGGGTGGGCTTGCCCCGGAGAGGGGGGATCCCAGAGCACACACGCACGAGGAGGGGGCCTCTGAGATCCCACAGCTGGGAGGAGGGGGGCTTCCAGGCCACACCCCCCAGGAGGAGGAGGCTTCCAAACCACACCCTCAGCAGGAGGGGGGTCCAAGATCACCTCCTCCAGGAGGAGGAGGAGAGCTCCCAGACCATGTCTGCAGGAGATGGCTCAAGAAGAGGTTGCTCCTAGTCGCCTTCTCAGAGCTGGTCTCAACTCCTGATGGCTGTGGGTGCTGTGGAGCCAAAGGTTCTCATCCTTCCACTACTACCCCCCCAATAGAGGTCACATGCCAAGAGCCCTCAGCTTGGCATCTGCTGTTTTGTGGTCAAAAATGTGGGGTGATAAGGGACCCACCTCGGAGGACGGTGAAGATTGAAGAGGGGTGCCAGTGCCTGGCATATGTTGAGAGTTCACTGGTGAGGGTGAGACTGAGGGAGAAGGAGGGGTCCCTTTGTAGGGTGTACTCATCCTCCTCCATGGCCACCTGGGAGGCTCAAAGCTGTTCCTGGGCTCTTCTGCTTTCTTCAAATGAAGTGAACACTTGTGAGTTCCAACTACTGTTTGTAGACAGTTGATTAAGTCTTGTTAAAATTCAGTCTAATCTCTGCCTTTTGATTGAATTGTGTAGCCCGTTCACATTTAGTGTGGTAATATACAGGAGTTAGGTTTACATATGTCATTTTACTTTTTTCTTTTTAGAAATTTTTTTTGTTCCCTTGTTCATCCTTTAAGTGGATTAAAGTGAATATTTTCTTTTGCATAAGTTGAGTGTTTCCTAATGTAGCATTTTAAGTTAATGATTCTTTTTGTCTATAGTTTTGCTTTTTTTCCCAGTGGTTGCTCTGTGTTTAACCAAGTACATCTTAATCAGTTTCATACTTGTACAAGGTTAATTCCAGTGAGATCAAAAATGTTACTCTTACATACCTCTTTTCCTTTTATCTGCATTTGGTGCTACTTTGTTCTAGCCTGCTCATGTTACAAACTCAGTAATACAATGTTACAATAATGGCTTTACCGTCTGCAGGCATTCCTTTAGCCCAACATGGCTTTGCTGCCCCCCACCTCCTTTGTTTTGTTATTACATGTACATGTAGTACATTTCTGAATATATCATATACATACAACTGCTTTTTAAATCAGATAAGAAAGGAGAAAATAATGCATTTAAACTATCTTTTAAAAGGACATAATTAGCTTTTCTGCTGCTCCCTGGGTTTTTGTGTGGTTCTGAATTACTGCCTGGTGTCACTTGCTCTCAGCCTAACTTCCTTCAACATTTCTTATAAGGTGAGTCTGCTGGCAACAAACTCTCAGTTGTTGTTGATCTGGAAATCTATTTTGGTTTCACTTTTGAAGGATGGCTTCACTAGATATAGGTTTCTTGTTTGTTTGTTTGCTTGCTTGCTTTTTCTTTGAGCATGGTGGCATCCATTGGTTTCTGCTGAAAAGTCAGATTTTCATTTGTTGAGGTTCCCTTCTAAGTAGGAAATCACTTTCCTTTTTAAGCTTTCAAGATTCTGCCCTCACCTCAGGCTTTCATGTTTACAAGGATGTGTCTGTGGATCTCTGCATTTATCCCACTTAGCATTCACTAAGGATTCCTGAATTTATAGGCTATTGTTCTTCAATGAATTTGGGGTGCTTTCAGCCATCATGTCTTTGAGCATTTTTTCTGCTCCTTTCTCTCTCCTTTGTTTGCGGTTCCCATTAGTATGTTGGTGCCCTTGGGTGTCTCTGAGGCCCTCATTGCCTTTCCACATTCAATTTTTTCTCTGTCCTTTACTTACATAATCTGTCAACGTATCTTCTTCTGCCAGCTCACCACTGAGCCCTTCTAGTGGATTTTTGGATTTCAGTTATTGCTGTTTTCAACTCCAGAATTCTGTTTTTTTCACGTCCTCGTCTGTGTCTCTTCACTGGCAGCCTCTTTGGTGCAGCACCGTCATGTCTTCATTTCCTCGTTCATTGCTCCCTTCACTCTTGATCCCGTTGGTAATGGCTACTGTGAAGCCATTTCTGATACGTCCAGCATCTGGTCACGTTCACAGGCAGCTTCTGTTACCTGCTTTTACTCCAGTGTATGGGTCGACTTTCACTTTACTTTGCAAGTGTCATAATTTATGTGGGAACCTCGTCACAGCCTCTGCTGTTCTCCAGAGCCCCCTCAGACCTGAATTTCTCCACATTCTGCTGCAAGAGCTCAGTGCCTTTGGGAAGACAGTAAGGGGACCCCAAGCCAAAGCTCTGCAGCTTGCGACAGTGACGGGCTTCTCTCTGAGTGACATGTGACACTCCTTGAGGAGCTGGAGCACGGGCTGGTTGGGTGCCTGACATCAGCTTGCATCTCCTGGCCTGGAACTGCTGCCTCACAGCTGAGAAGGGGTCCTGGGCCCCGGGCCTCTGACGAGCTGGGGAGGGGGCTGTGTTCTTGGCTGCACAGAGTGGAGCCGCCCACCACAGATTTCCTCGCTGAGTGTTTGTAGCTGCTCTTAAGCAGCTGTCTCTTCAGTTGCCCACAGGACCACACTCTGCATCGCTCGGGCTGGGCAGAGTCTGGGAAGCCCTTAGCACTGTTAGGCCAAAGTCACGTCTCCCAGCCCTTTTTGAGAACCCACACTGTGCTTCTGACATGGTGGGTTTGAAATAGTCTACTTGGATAAGGAAAATCTCGATGAGCAGGTCTCCTTCTTTTTTCTTTCTTTGATTATTTTTGTGGGAGCATTCCAAGGTGACCAGCTGAGCAGGGCGGGTCGCACAGGCCAGGAAGGATGTGGCGGGTCCTCAGTGCTCTGGGGCAGGTGCATCAGGGGTGGCTCTCCCTCGCCAGAGCTGAGGCAGGGGCAGATCCAGAGTGGACAGCAGATGGCCTTCAGGCACCTGTGATAACCTGTTCTTAGGCCTGCTCAGACCCTAGACCTTTATGTCTGAAAGGCCAGCTTTTAATGAGCCCTCCTGAGGGGCCTGTGGTGAGGATTGGGACAGACCACATTTAAGAGTGCCTGCCCCTGGAAAGGGCCTGCCATGCTTAAAGTGTGGAGCAGGCACGGAGTCTCTGGTGTAGTCTTGGCCCCAGAGAGCTTCAGGGGTCTCACCTGGGTAAGCTGTGGTGGTGACGGGACGTCAAAGCCAAACAGCACTTGTGACAAGTGGTGACCCTCGGTCAAGTCCCTCCTCGCATGATCCTCACCAGGAGCAGGGCACTGAAGAGCTCGTGGGAAGGAGAGGGCAGTCAGGGGCCTTCTAGGACAGAAGTGTTTCTTCCATGCCATGCAAGTGACTTTTTTTTAGGGAGAGGGGCCTCTTCAGGACTGAGTGGTGGGACTTTGTCCCTATGACCAGAGACAGTGTGGCCACTCTGGGAAGGCAATCTGACCTCTGTGGGCCGGGTTTCCTGGGCGTGGCTGCACAGCTGCTGCAGGGCTCCTTAGGAAAGGCCCCAGGTGTGCTTGGCGCCCCACGAGGGCCTTGTCTGTTGTGCTTGGAGCTGCCAGGCGTGCTGTCTTTACACGGTTTGCTGCAGCTTTTGGCTCATTTTTAAGATGCACGGAGGGGCGCAGTACCCTGGAGATTGGAGCTGCTGGCTGCAGAGCTTCTGGAACCTTCCAGGCGCTGCCCGGAGATGTTGCTCTGACAGTTTCTGAGCTGGCTTGCTTTCCTTTTCATTCCTTTCATCTGCTCCTGGGCAGAGGGCCCTCATCTGTCCCCTCTGGGTTGCCCGCCCTCCAGCCATTTTGACAACAGCCTTTGCTCACAGGGCCACCTCCGCCAACCTCGCCTCTCACTTCCCTTTATTATGTTCATTCCTTCGAGTTTTAAGGTGAACTTTAAAATGTATTGTTTTCTAAGTGTGCTGTGGTATTCTGTAATAGAAAAAGGAATTCATGGAGAAATGGATGAAATTCAAAAGAAATCTACAGTCAGTTGACAGTATTGTACTAGGGACGGTTTCTTAGTGTTGACAAACGTCCCACAGTTGTTGAACGTTAGCTGAAGCTGGAGGAAGGGCGCAGGGTAACTCTAAGAACTATCGTCACCACTTTTCTGAAAACCTAAAATTATTCCTTAATAAAGTTATTTTAAAACCTGTTACTTTAATTAGTCCCTTTCTTGTTATTAGAAGACTTTCCCTTGCATTGGGGTAAAACAGAAGGTGGACCACTTTGTTTAGATTCGTGATACAAAAGCTAACGGCTTTAATGGACGCAGACTGCAGAGAAGCCAGAGGAACCAGGGCAGGGGTTGGCTTTTTTTTTTTTTCTTATTACCTTTTATCAGGAACTTCGATATGGTATAAAAGTTTGAGAACCTTTTCAGGAAAAGTACTTCTGCTTATTCTAAACCCTTGAAATGGACATAATCTCCAAGACGGTGGGAAGCACAGGCACAGGCCCCGTGTGCTGAATCCAGGCAGTTTTGTTTGCATTTGCGCATTCAGGCCCCAGGTGTCTCCTTGAAGCTGATAAAGACACAGGCAGGATGGTCTGAGTTTTCTTTTGTGGGTAATTCTCATCCCGTGTTCGTGTTTCTTACCTGGAGCGTTTTCTGGATAAGCTCACAGGTGGAGTGCGATCTTCAGCGCGCCTGAGAGCCCGGAGTTGTTCAGCATCCGGGTTGGCCTCTGCCCAGGAAGTCGCTGGCTCCACGTCTGCCAAGACAGCATGTCTGGTGAGCCTCATTCCCCTGGAGAAGGCCAAGGGCCTGACCTGGTCCATTTTTATACAAAGTTGTCACTGCGAGACATCTTACGTTAGGAAAACATCAAACGTTCTTACACTCCAGAGGTGGGCGATCTCAGATGGACAGGTGACGGTGCCACGACTCCTTCCAGAGAGGGGCGCATGCCAGTCAGTGCTGCTTTTCCAGGCTCTGCCCACGAGTAGGTGTGTCTCAGGGACCCAGTCTCTGTGATACAGCCCTGCTAGTCCTCTGCTGCAGGCAATCTGAGAAGGGAAGCTGGTGCATTACTGTGCAGCTTCACCCCTGCAGGCTTTAAGAGAAAGGTTAGGGTGGGGTGGGGGCCCAGGAAAGGAGCTCTTCCTGCTGCCAGCCCTGCCTGCAGCTGTCCCCAGGAGCCTTGGCTCCTGGATGGCCAGGCCAGCCCGCTTCCTTCAGTACTCAGCATGGGGTGGCACTTGGCCAGCACGGCCTTGGACTCATAATTGAGATGTTGGTCCAAATTTTGTTGAAGTCAATTTAACAAATATTTGCTGAGCACTATGTGTCTGGAACTCCTAGGGGAATAAAGCAAAGCTCCCTGCCTCCATGGAGCCTCCATTCCAACGGGAGCAGAGGATGCGGAGTTCTGTCATTACCATTTTATAACATGTAAACACAGCCTCTGAGTTTGCCGAGGGAAACCTGGACGTAGGAGTAACGTAGGGGGCTCTAGGCTCGTTCCTGGCCATCACTCTGGATTCGCTCCCTTGGTGGCAGAACAGTGAAATGGTGATCTGTTAAAGTTGTGATCACAGCATTTTCATCATTTCAGATGTGAGAAGAAATCCCAGCCTCTGGGATGGAGGCCTTCTGCATCTGCTGGCTGTGTCTGCTTGTCCCTGACACTCTTCTTTCTTGACAGACTTCCACATCACACAGGGCCACAGACAGGAGAACTTCCAAGAAGTTCAAGTGTGACAAAGGTCAGCTTGTAAAGTCAGAATTACAGAAACTCATCTCTAAAAGCGACAGCGCTTCCTTGCCGAACGTGACGCCTGAGACCTGCTGTGAAAATGAGTCTGCGGAGGACGGGGCCTCGCTCTCAGGCACCAGCGCTGCTGTTTCCACACCACCGGAGACTTCAGGTCTCCCGCTGGGTCACTGTGCAGTTGTGAGTGACACCTGCTCAGCACAGACTGCAGACGCACCCTCACCAAAGCACAGCCTCGATTCAGAAGCAGAAGAATCTCAGGGCAGTTCCACCGTGCGGGATGAGTTGGCACCGGGGACAGAGGGCAGGCGGACACCCCTGCTGCAGATGGACGACAGCGTCTTTCTAGATGATGACAGCAGCCAGCCAATGCCCGTGAGCCGGTTCTTCGGAAATGTGGAACTCATGCAGGTAGGACGGCACCTGCCTCTCCCGCAGGTGCTCAGCAGCACCTCACCCCCACACCTGCACACCTGCACACCTCACACCTGCACACCCCCACACCTGCACACCTCACACCCACCTACACACCCACACCTGCACGCCTCACACCTGCATGCTCACACCCACACACACACCTGCACACTCACACCCCCACACCTGCACACCCACACCCTTATACCCCCACAGCCTTACACCCTCACCTACACAACTTACACCCACATAGTCTCACACCTGCACACCTTACACCCACACACATCACACCCTCACATCCACACACCTCATACCTACACATCTCACACCTACACACTCACAACCGCTCACCTCACCTGCACACCTCACACCCACGCACCCTCACACCCACCCACACACACCCCCACACCCTCAGACCCATGCACCCTCACACCCACACTCCCTCACACCCCTCACACCCATACACCCTCACACCCCCACACCTACGCACCCTCACACCCACATACACTCGCACCCTCATATCCACACACCCTCACACCCCCACCCAGCCTCACACCCACACACCCTCGTACCCACGCACCCTCACACCCCCACACCTGTGCTGTGTGCTGCCCACTCACTGCACATAACACCTCAGCACAAAACTCAGTATCAATCAGTAATTTTAACCCAAGAGAAGAAGATGAAACATTTGCCTTTGGGGGCACTGTCTCCTTCTCCCAAGCTGACAATCACAGCCACTGGGAAAGCCACCGATGGCGGAGTCTCCACCTAGAAACCCTGTTTCTGTGAAATCAGATTTGCGGGTTTTCAAGCACCTGCCCCACACTGCTGTTGCTATCGTTTCAAACCCAGGATCTTCCCCCCTCCTCCTCACTTGGTCCACCCAACAGAGAAGGAGCTCTTAGCTAGAGATGAACCCTGGGACTCAGGCGAGACCTGGAGCTGGAGGGTGCATTGTGAGTGCCAGGGCTCTTGTGGTGTGATGCAGGACTGAAGTCCGTTTTTCTTCCCTTCTAAGGACCTGCCACCAGTGTCTCCATCTTGCCCTTCAATGAGCAGGAGAGAATTCAGAAAAATGCATTTCAGAGCCAAAGATGATGAGGAGGAAGAGGATGACGCAGAAATGCAGGGAGTAACCAAATGATTTGTGTATTAGTACGGCTACAGTCTGGCAGTGTAGCACATGACGAGATTCATATAAAACATGTCTCCAAGAGAATGTGTTCTTACTGTCCTCAGTACTGGCCCATCATAGTGCCAAGTTCAGACACCGTGGGAGACGCACTGGTGTGAACTAAGTCTGAGCACACAGAGCTGTTGTCTGGGTCAGTGTCATGGTGATGGCACGAGTCAGCTAACGGCTGGGGGGTAAGGAAGAGAGATCTTGTAAGGATGCCTCTTCCCTTCCACTTATCATTTTTGGTAATATGCAAGTTTATTTTCCATGATAAAAATGTGATTATTCTTGTGATTAACTCAATGCCAGTTCTTAAAGAACTCTCTTTAATTTCTGTATATGAAGCTGGTGTTTATCTTGGAAATTCTGCAAACTACATGTGAGAAAGAAATAAAATATATTTTGAAAATATTTCTGAAGAAGTCTTAGTTCCAAAAGCTAAAGTGTGAGAGAGCCAGCCCTGTTGGACTCCTAAGTGGAGGAAATAAAGCCTGTCCTCGTCTTAGTCTTACACTCTCTTACAAGGGGGCCACCTGCTGTGCCCATTAACCAGGACACGAAGGGAAAACCCTTGGCAGGGACCCCCCCCCTTGAGCTCTTCTTCCTCCCTCACTGGCCTTAGCCATAGCAGCCTTGAGCTTTCCTAGCTTGTGTGTGGAAGAGGCTGTGCCCTCTAGGCCATGGAGGTGTCCTGGGACAGCTGCCCCACCAGGGCCACACCCCCGGCCTCCACTTGCCTTGTGGTACGGGAGGCCATTTGAAGGGTGCTATGTCCACTGCCTCTTCCTGCCACCACTGCCAACCAAAGCCAGCAGAGCGCCCAGGAGGGAGCCCAGGTCCCTGGTAACTGAGGCCAAAAAGGGAAAGGCCGCCTGAGACTTGGGAACGGTGTGGGGCTCATGAGTGAGCAAGGGTCTTCCTGTCGGGGCTGTTGTGCATTTCTGGTTTGGTTTTAAGAGCAGCTAGATTGAAGCGTACAGGCAGGGCTCTACTTAGCAGATAAATTAGGAGCAAAACATAGTTGCCCTATGAGGAATTTTCAGCTCTCTCTTCCTGTCCCAAAACTACTCTCCCTGACAGTAATTCTCCTGGCAGTCCTCTTCTGCTTCCCGTCAGCTGTGACCTTCATCTCCTCTGATATTTGTGATTTCTTGATCAACGAACTATAATTTGAAAGTGTGGCCTGTAAAGTCACGTCACAGTAGCCAGGGGAAACAATTTACAACTTGAGCTTGCTGCATGGATGACTGTTAATAACAGCAGCTCATCCCTGGTGAGGGAGCCACTGCGGCGTAGAATTGCATCGTCCCCTCAGAGTCAGCACACCTGCAGGAGCCACACAAGCTACGATCCCAGCAAATCACAGCACAGAAAACATATTCGTTGCTGCAGCTGCCCCTGTTCACTCCCAGTTTTTTAACATGCCACAATGAGCATTCTCCAGTGCCCACAGCTTCCCAGTCTGCCTAGACTTGTAGGAAGTGACGGTCCCTCTGTGCACTGCTTTGCCCCTGCTAACTGGCAACCGGCTCACCATGCAGCCAGGCCTCTCTGCTCAGGTGTGGGTGGGCCTCTGACAGTGAAGGTCCATCACATCATGCAGTGAATTGAGAGTATTTTTGAGGTTCATGTGGAAAGTCCTAGGTGTTGAGAAGGTGGCAGCAGGAAGAGGGGCAAAGCCCAGGGCACAGCCTCCTGATGTCCCCTCCTGGCGCAGTCCCTGGAGACCCACCTCATTCTCCCTGAAGACAGGCCTTTCTTTGAACTGGGACAGGTTGAAAAATAAGTCTGGCTTCTCTCCTCATGGAGTCCCTCACCCACTGCTCACATGCTTCAGTCTTGGAGGCCTCTTCCTCCAACCCTAACATGCCCCAACTCCAAGCAGCTGGCTCCAGCACCAGCTCCTACAGAGCCCGGTCCCTACCCTCTGCCTCGGCCAGCTCCCCATTCTCACCTTTGGCGGCTTCCTCCTGAGCTGCAGGGAGGCCAGACGGTGCAGTTGTGCTCACCCATCTGTGTGGCCAGAGGGAGCCTGACACGGGCACGCCAAGGCCTCAGCAGGCTCACCCATTGGACTCTCCCTCTGAGCATGTTACTGACACTGGGACCTCTCTGGAGGAGGTGACCCGTGCCCTTAGGCCATATGACTGTACCCTCAGCTCCTGGAATTTCTCCCCCTCCTGCATCAGAACAGATGGACCTGCACCTGCTCTGCCTGCTCTGTCGCCTCCAGCCTGGGGTCCTAAGGTAACCTCACTCCTGGACACTTTGTGTCTATAACAGCCATCCTCACCCAGCCAAGAGCTTGGAATCAAGCAGAAAGTAATAACCCAAATAACGACGTCCCCTCTCTGAGAGCCTGTGACTCCTGCTCGCGGATCCCCTCTGTGCAGAGCTCAGGCAGACGTGTGTGGCTTCTGGCGTCTCACCTGCTGCAAAGTGCAGCCTCAGGTCAGGAAAGGAGAGGAGGGAACAGGCAGGACCCACCAGAGACAGTGGCAGAAATCCTGGTAGACAGTCGCAGAGAGCGCCGTCAGGGAAGCCATCTGGTAGAGGGCAGCCGGCCACGTGTCCAGGGCACAGTGGCCACGTGGGAGGGGAGAATTGCCATCAAGGAGGCCTGTGAGGGATGCTGAGAAAGGACACGCCCCTGACCCGCAGGAAACAGAATGCTGTGCTGCAGGGAGCCAGCGGCTGGCCAGCCAGTGAGCCTCCCTGTCGCACGACGAGATCTGCTGAGGTCCAGAGAGTTCTTCACCTACACAAGGGAATCTAAGAGGAAACAGGCATCCTGGCTGCGAGGCCCCAAGTGTCCCAACAGCCACATGTCCCAGTCAGACCAGATGAACACCATGTGCTGTTTATTCTAAGAAACTGCTGCATTTAGTGGAGAAAATGGAACCACCAAGGTCAATTTTAGAAACATCACTGACCTCTTATTTTTATTCTTATTTTCAATGAGTGCAAACTTTTTTGACACATTTTTAAAAAATCTTTTTTGCTTTGATTTTATAATAAATGTAAAAATTTGAATATTATGTATGTATGGCCATAAAAAGTACACTTTAATATTAAAAAGTAAATCCTCATTTCAAAAAAATTCAAGTATTATAAATACAAGATTTAGAAAATCAGTCCTGTGTCACCCAGCCTCTCCCCTCCATGTCCCTGGAGGGCTTGCAGATGGCCCTGTGAGCACACTGACATGCGTGGAGGACACACCCTCCAGCCTCTCCTTCCACATGGTGGAGCCGTGGGCCCCTGACGGCCTCCTTTTCTACATCAGCACGTAGCTCTCAGACGCTTCACACTGCTGTCTAGTTTTGCACTATGTAGATGTATTGGGTTCGATCTCAAAATAAGCGATACCTGACCACTTTTAACTTAGAAAAACAGCAATTTCATACGGTTCAACGTGATTCTACAAGCAGCCACTACCCTCCTGCAGACTTGGAGGGCTCCAGTTTTTACCATTATAACCTCAGCAGTGGGCATCCTGTGTGCTGTTTACAGAGTGCCCCTCTCTTTGGGGCATCTGGAGGAGCCCACAGGGCGCAGCTGTCCACCTGCTGTGGGGTAGAGATCACAAGGCAGCTGATACATGGGCAACTTATCCCTCAAGCAGGGGCGGCCAAGTTCAGCCATGACACAGCTGCCATGTAGAGACCATCCTGTGTGCACACACAGGATGCTGGTGACATCACAGAAGGAAGCATCCCTGAGCTTAGAGACAATTCCTGGCCCCTGACAAGTCTGCCCCACACATGTCCAGTGAGTACTTTGGAACTGTCCTCTGGAAGTTGGGCTGTCAAAAGGCACAGAAAACAGATTCAGAAATATACTGAAATCACAACTGCAGGAAATATTTTTTTTAAGTTTTTTTTCCTCCAGAAGAAATTAGCACCTCATGTTTTTGTTTTTTGCAGCTTTTGGCCCGGGGCTGGGTTTGAACCCACCACCTCTGGCATATGGGGCTGGCATCCAACTCCTTGAGCCACAGGTGCCGTCATTGGCACCTCTTAAAATTACGCTCCCACATCAGGCCTCACAGAGGGATGAGAACGCGGTGCGAGCACTTTGCCGGGGTTTTCGGGCAGGCCCCTTCCGCTTCAGCCCCACCTGGGGCTTGTAGATTCTGCCTGGGTCACAGCCGAGCTTGTGGGTGGTTTTCTTGTGGCAGGCGATGTGCACCAGCTTTAGATTCTCGGAGGTGAAAAGCAGGCTGTAAAAATACTCCCAGTCTATTTCTCTCCCATTTTGCTCCTTGATGGCTTCGGCCAGCGTGGGGACAATGGTGCGTTTCTTTTCTATTCTGCAAAGTAAGGTTAAGACGTCACCCTCTGCTGTCACAGCTGCCGCAGCACACTTCCTGTCAAACCACAGAGACACCGCCGTTTCCATACCAAGCATGGGGCATCGGCTGTTCACAGGAGACTAGTGGAGATTAGGATATCAAAAAGGAACCACACACAGAAACACCCAGGAAGAACCAGGGGCATGGAAAAGAGCCGGGCTGGGGAGCTGCCGCAGAGGAGCCCTGGGGCATGATTCTTCCCAAACTCACCCTAGGCATCATCCCTGAAACTCGGCCATGCCCAAGGACCAGGGCTGTCTAGTGGGACCCAACACAAGCAACTCTGTGGTCTGTCTTTTTATTTTGAGACAGAGTCGCCCTTGGTAGAGTGCCGTGGCATCATAGCTCACAGCAACCCCAAACTCTTGGGCTTAAGTGATTCTCTTGCCTCACCCTCCCAAGTAGCTGGGACTACAGG